TACCTTTCACCTATGTTTCTGAAATTTGGTATAATGTTCTCTACTACATAAATGCAAGCCTTAGATGATAGATAAATAGATTGATAGACATAGATATTTATTAAAGATAATTAACTCATTTCAAACATGCATCTTTTTCTATGAAATAAGACATGCTCCCATTGCCAAGAAAATTATTGCATTTTATTTCCTTTACAAGGGATTGTATTTTTTATCATCTCCCCCAGTATGGGAGAAGAGAGCTTTGCAATTTGCAGCTGGAGATATAAGATATATAGATATACTATATGAAAGTACCTTTGGAATGACCTAGTCTAGAGGGATTCATTCCCAGACACATATCTCTCCCCAGATTTAGCTTCTGCATGCCATCTTTTAAATAATCTCTACATTCTATACTTTAAAATGATTGCACAAATGACTGTTGTCCATAAATGACATGTGGCCACTAATATCAAGAAGTAGATATTTTCATTAAAGTTAGTTATTAATTAAAGTCTTCAATCAGCAATGCTGAAAAATAAAATATTTTACCAGCAATAATCTAAAATATCAGTAGTCATACTTTTTGTGGTATTTCTCCTATTTTCTTCCCAAGCACAGCTTTTTTTTTTTAACAGTGAAGTTATGTGAACTAAATACCATGGCACTGAAAGATGTGATTTAGCAAAATGAATTCTGATACTTGGAGCTTGCTGGCTCCATAGCAACCATTTCACCTCAATGCCTGTGCAGACATGCTTTGCATTTCTAGTTCATTTTCACAGACTTGCTCTGTTGTTTTATCTTTATTGTATTTGTGCAAATTCCAAACTAGCACAAGAATATTACAAAGGAGAAAGATTTGTAATGGATATTTTCTCTTAGGGAATTTGCCTATTCTTAAATTCAAAAAGATAATGTTCTTATATCCTTCGGGAGTAGGGCGGTATACAAATAAACTAAACTAAACTAAACTAAACTAAACATCAAGTGGTTTTAAATATAGCTAGTTTCCCAGAAATTGGATTTTTGCCTGATAAATATAAGGTAAAGGAACAATTAAGATAAGATGAATGCATAATGTTTTCATATGTTATTATTAGCAAATTTCATGAAATTCAAAGGAAAATGCATTTGCATGTAAGAAATATTTTTAATATAATTTGCACATTTCTATAAATCTGGATTGAATCCTAAACCAAAAAGTAAGCACTGTAATAATGATGTGGTTTACAATTAATTTCATTCATTCATTCATTCATTCATTCATTCATTCATTCATTCATTCATATATTAATAGTATTTATAGGCTACCAATCCATATACACTCTGGGGGCTGAAGAACAATTTCAATACATTATAAAATAACAGCAAAAACAAGAGCAGCAATATGGTGCAGGATTCCTTTGCAATAATGAATCAATAATCAATAATGAATTTCTAGTCTATGCTGATTTCAGTGTTGAAATTCAACAGCAAGGAATAGGACATCCATTGGAGAATGTGCCTTGTCATGTTCCTGAATTCATATCCAGGCTAAATTCTGTAATTTAGGTTGAGGAGCATTAGCCCTTTGGTAGAAACAAAAATGTTCTTCCTGCAATAAAACCCAGCTAATTTATTTTAGCAAGAGTTAATAGAATAAATGTAGTTTTATTAAAAATATACAAATAGTGACCCTTTTTCAATTTAGAATCTTTATGTATATACTAGGATGAGAACTTTATGTACTTTTTTCTCAGAACCTTATAATGCATCAGACAAGCAGGCTTCTCTGATAAATGGAGAGGTTGCAGTTATGGATTGTTTATACAGAGATTGCTTAAATCCATTTTAGACTGAGAACCTATTCTTATAAGAAAATGAACTCCAGTTCTCTGAGCTCCATATCACAACTAATAAAGGATGACTTTAAAGGAATCCTACCCTTTTCTTTACATTTCCTTTATTTGTACAAAAAGCAAGCCCATATTATGATAGAAATTATTCTTATGCTCTTTTAGCCTCTACTGATATTTTAGGCATAATTCTACATATGCAACCTTTTAACTGAAACATGGACATAAAACACAATGTTAAATAAGAAATCTTCTGTTAAAAATATTCTAGAAATATTTAATTCCTATAAACTCAAAAGAAGGAAAACAAAAAATTTATATTATTGACTTTTTCACATCCTTCTTGTGCTACTGTGTAGTTCTAGTACAATTGGTGGTAATAATTAAAATAGGCTTGATGTACAAAGTGCTTCCTGCAAAACAATAGCCAATTGCTATTTGACAAAGAGGGCTTACCATTTGCAAAGTGAATGAAATTCATGAAATATTTTGATATCTATTAGTACAAAGCAAACATGCAAAAGGAAACAGAATCTACTCATATATTTGTTTCATGCTAGCAATTGACTATTCATCTATGGCACACATCGAAATAGTACTAACTAGAATCTCTCCACCATTTTTAGAAGCAGCAGTTTCCCCATCACACTAACTATGGGTGTTGTAAAAAAATGTTCTGTTTAATGTTATGATCTACACTTATCTTCTCTTTCTAAATATGAATATCTAAGATTTAATTTAAATATGGATATTTCATATAATCGTTTAATACCATAAAACTGTCATTTTATGAAATGTTCCCATACAAAATTAAAGCAGTGAGATAATTGTGGATACTTCAGAATATTTAGTTATGTCATTGAAAAAGAAATAAATAACGTGGGCACAAAGTTATTTAAATATACCTATGGTCAGACTACCATATCATGACTCCATAGATGGCTTATCTTTGGAAGATGAAGATAATATGATGACTCTTGACTCAAGGCAGTGAATCTTAATACTTAATAGTGCTGCCTCCTAGTGGTTGGGAAAGTCTGCTTCCTTTGACTGAAAGTCAAATTCTCTGGTAGAACCTCCAAGATCACAGGACCATCAGTGATCCAGTATCAAACATCAAAAGGATATGTGACAGAAGTGACAGAAAAGACTGTGAGTGAAATGTTTTATTAAAGCTAGTATGCTAGTATGCCTGACTAGCCCAGTACTTTAAACAAGATTGTACACCATCTAAATGTATAGGCCTATTTGTATAATATAGGCCCATTAATATATTAAGCCTTCAAGTGAAACAACGAATGCTAGAAATCACAAATCTTATTTACCCACCACTTCTGATTCAGCTTAAGCATTTGAACTGTTAAATCTTGGTCCAATCTTTGGCTATGTTCTAAACTTAACACTCTGACCTATTCTGAATTCTTGCCTAGGTTGTACTATTGTTACTGTATTCTATTTCAAGTACTACATGTGTCCAGGACACCATCTGTGTCATTTGCCTTGGACTTTCTCGATCAGGACAGCTAAGAAACCTTTAACTCTATTTCAAGTACAGAAAGTTTTATTTACTGAAGTCTTATTTACTTGAAAATACACATCAATCATCACTATGAAGGTTTGTCTAACATAGAGGAGATTTTCAATTCATAGTCTTCTAAACAGATGATCTAACAAAAATAAACCACTGACAGCTATGGAAGCTATGTTAAAAATGGTATTATTTAAATACAGAAATCCAGTGCCCTGACCCACACAAGAAAGGTTTTTTGGACAGAAGGAGAATGGACCTACAGCTTTTACTAAATTTTAAGTTGCCTTATCCCCATTGCTTTAGTAGAATACTTTTAAATTTTAAAAATGGGAAATAAATTAGTGCCTTTGAAAATGTTATCAAGGTAAAAGTATCAGGCAAGTTATTAATATAGCTGTAAAAAGTCATTCCTCAAGTTTTCCTCTTGAAATTAAATCTGCCCAACATAGTGTAATTCTGTACCTTCCAACAACACTGATTTAACATTAATTGAAGTAGATCTAACTTTGCCCCTTTTATCTTGTCCTTATAGCCCCCAGGCTATAAAATATCTTAATCATTATGCATGCCTCAGACAGTATTTTAATCCTGGAATGCTGAGATAATTCAGGGGTTGCAATAATTATTCTCTCAGAGTTTAAGAAGAAATATTCTTTGCATTAATTTCTATAGATATAACAATTTTTTTCTCAATCCAATAACTTCCAGGGACGCTGGTCAATCAGCAAAAGTAAAATACATATAAAAGTATTCGTGTTTATAAAAATATTTATTTTTTTAACAGGAAGGCTGCATCTCCCTTCCCAAGAATTCATCATATAGAATACATCATGACTCTATATGTTTGGATATGTATCTTAGAATGCATCTGGATTACATACACTGATCTAAATATCAGACTTCAAATTTACTTCATTTTTGACATGTTATAATGAAATAAGGGCATTTTATTTCATCTGAATATTGTCTCACATTCTGCAATTGTAGTTGGTGGTATAAATAAATCTGCTTAAAAGCTCTTCTTTCCCTTCCAGCTACATGTCGGATAAAAGGGACAGATTGAGAAACCGTTACTTGATCAAATTAAAAGCATGCGAAACAGACTTAGAACTCCAAGCAGTGTCACACATAAAAAAATTAGTATACTTAATAAATGGGTTCATTAGGCAGGAGTCAGAACCAAAGAAAAATTTTAATGTTATGTATAAAAGGACTCTTATATTCAGTGAAACAATTATGAGTATCAGTGTACAACTCTCCCAGCAGACTCCTTGCCATTAAAGTTTGTCAACATATCTTGAAACATGCAGAATACTGCCACAGATCACAGTACAACTAATTTCTTCATTGTCAGGTTAAAGCCATTCAGACTCATGAGAGTGCTTGAATTACAGATGCTTCATGTTTTGTGAACTTTTGGCAAGGAGCCATAGACAATCAGCCCATATGTATGTACATGTAAACGGAGAGTGAAATATAACAGTCACATGAGGTAATATCATTACCAGATACTGTTTAAACTTATTGTTTAACTCAACTTTAATTAAATGTATGATTTAAGTAAATTAGGTATGTATCCATAAATGATTACTTTTATTCATCCTTCTACAAAGAACTTTGAGCATTTAAAATAAAATATTACAACTAACCTGATGAAGGTCATTACCGAGTGCATATTCTTGGAAATAACCTGGTGCTGCAGATGATGCTCTGATAGCTTGCCACAATTTATAATGGCAACCGCCAAGATAGTGAGACTTTACTCCAGGGAAGTGATTGTAATTTCTAAATACAAAGGCTTTCAGTGGTGTTCCTCTGCTTACAATAGTACTTATGGCAGCCACCTAATAAAAACAAAATACTAAATTTTACCCAATTATAGCTCCTTACCCAATTATCGTCATCCCTGCCTTACAACAATCAGCTATTAACATGTTAGATCAATTTAGGATTACATCATTCATATTCATGCTTATATATATATATTTATAAATACACACAAACACATATATACAGCAACATATACAGAATAAATGGGATATAGATTAAAATATTTTCATTGGATCTATATATTTTTTAATTTTTAAGAAAGTATTTTTTATTAAAAGGATGTGGTGGCCTTATGGTTAAGCACTGGGCTTGTTGATTGGAAGATTGGTAATTGGACCCAAGCATAGCATGATGGGGTAAGCTACCGTTCTTGCCCCAGCTCCTGTCACCCAAGCAGTTCAAAAGCATACAAATACAAGTAGATAAATAGGTACCTGTCAGCCTCTATGATGCTTGCTTGCTATCAGCTGCCACAGTAATGGGGGGGGGGGGGAGTGTATAGGTATTGTGGAGAGGGAAGCAAGCTGGTGGAGCTGTCTCGTGATGTGACCGAAAGGGAGGAAAAGGGAGGAATATTCTCATCGTCTTCTGCGCAGCTGAATGGACGTTGATAGCCAGTCAAGGTCAACTGTTCTGGCATACTAAATGGATGGGACCATCTGAAGATGCACCTCACATGACACCTTGGGGAGCTGGGGATTGGACATTCAGCCAGGGTCTTTGGGGGGAATGATTTGGGAATACTTTCAATATGTAATTTTCGCATCTACTGCCTCAGATCTTGCTTTCTTTTCGTTGCTATCAGGTCATGCTCAGTAAAAGTACCTTTCTCTGCAAACATGGAGTTGGGTTTCTTTTCCCTTGAGTTTTGAACAGAGGCACACCTGACATTAAGCAAGATCTGCTTGAACAGCCATCCCAGAGAAAACTCTACCATGGGGGCTGAGCAAAGAATGTCTTACCAAGGCAGCAACCAAGAGGACAGGGGGCCGACTGGCTCGACTCCCCCCCAGTCCCGCCAAAGCTGGGAAGCTTCAGAGTGGATGTTTGAACTGCAGATTGAGGAAAAGCCAGTCCAAGCCAAATGGTCGCTGGGTGTGGGCCAGATGGAGATTCTGGAGGAGGTTCCCCCTGGGGTAACAACTGCCAGACACCAGCGGGGAGAAGTAGCCTGGCAGGAAGCTGACAAAGATGACCTCCTGGTGACTCAAGCCCTGCACCTCCTACAAGAAGCCCTTGAAAGTCGGAGAACACGTGAAAGATATGCCTTGACTGCGCATGAGGAGGTTGAACACCCAGGGGGAGAAGCAGAAGCCATGGCATCCCAGAAGAGATGCCTAGAGCTCGGCCAGACCTAGCGCAGGCTGCTAGAACTCAAGTGGTGGCTGCAGCCCAGGCCCCCCTGTATAGGGGGTAGTCCCCCGGAGGCGCTAAATTCCAAAGGTTCCTCAGCTAGAAGTAAAATATGGAGGAGATCCCTAAGGTTTTGGGATTTTTCCTAGCCCAAGTGTGGAATCATATGCAAGAGTATGGAGGTTTTACATCGGAAGCGGCACGCATGAGGTGCATCATTATGCCCCTGGAGGGGACAGCAGCTGAGTGGATGGTGGGTCTCCATGAGAATTCTCCCCTGCTGAGGAATTACAGCCCAGTGCTTGGGGGGAGGGATTTGGGAATACTTTCAAAAGTAATTTTTGCACTTATTGCCTCAGTTCTTGCTTTCTTAAGTTTAAGTTTATTAGATTTCTATACCGCTCTTCTCCCGAAGGACTCAGGGCGGTATACAGCCATACTAAAACACATAGATTTATAAAATTTAAAACCAATTAAAAAATTGAATATAAAAATTTGGCCCGCGAGTTAAAACACACATACACCCATTTTAAAATTCATACTAGGCCAGTCCGGCTTGCTGGAACAGAAGGGTCTTAAGGGCGCGGTGAAAAGTACGCAGGTCGGGGCTAAGACGAAGCTCTAGGGGTAGCTCATTCCAGAGGGCTGGTGCCCCCACAGAGAAGGCTCTCCTCCTGGGTGTCACCAGTTGGCATTGTTTGGCCGACGGCACCCTGAGGAGCCCCTCTGTTGGAGAGTATTGGCCGGTGGGAGGTTGTTGATGGCAGAAGGCGATCTCGTATATACCCCGGTCCTAAGCCATGGAGCGCTTTAAAGGTGGTAACCAACACCTTGAATCGCACCCAGAAGACCACCATTGCTATCAGTTCATGGTCAGTAAAAGTACCTTTCTCTGCAAACATGGAGTTGGGGTTTTTCTTTTCTTTTTTTAAAAAATATTTTATTGACTTTATATACATACATAAAATATAGTAACATTTCTTTTTAACATCGGATATGCAGCGTTTATACATGAATACATGATATGTACCTGGTGTCGTTTATGCTGTTTATTGCTGTTTAGTTACACCTTTTACTCCTTCTTTGATTTTATCATTCATCCATTCATACCACCTTCCCCATACAGTATAATAATCTGAGTTCTCATCATTGTTTATTTCATGGGTTAGTTTGCTCATCTCTGCGCACTCCAGTATTTTCCTAATTATAAGTTCTTCTGGTGGCAGGGCTTTCTCTTTCCAGTGTTGTGCGTATGCCAGTCTAGCAGCTGTGGTTATATGTATTAGTAGGTGAATCTTTTTCTTTCCATACCCCTTCTTTACTATTCCCAGGAGAAATATTTCCGGTGTCAATTCAATATCTTCTCCAATTATTTCTTGTAACCATCTCTGAATTTTACTCCAATATCTTTTCGCTTCAGGGCATGTCCACCACATGTGAAAGAACATGCCCTGACCATAGCCACATTTCCAGCAGTTCCGGTGCATGTTGGGGAACATCTTTGCTAATCTAGCAGGTGCTAGGTACCACCTGTGGAGCATTTTGTATTGGTTTTCCTTATACGCTGCAGCTCTGGTCAATTTGTGGTTTTTATTCCATGCCTCTTCCCAATCATTAAAGTTTAGGCTGTGTCCAATATTTCTCTCCCATACTCTCAGCTGATTTTTGGCTATACCCTCAGCTCTGTCCTCGTCTAATAAGTAGTTATATAATTTAGCCAAAACTTTTTTTTCCGTTCCCATCAGAATTTTATCTAGTCCGTTGTATCCTAGTTCTAGACCATATTCATCCTTATCTTTCTGGTATCTTGATTTTATTTGTAGATACGTCCACCAGTCTAGGTTTATACCTTGATCTCTCAGGGCATCGTTTGATTTAAGGCTTCCTCCTCCATCTAAAATGTCTTTGTATCTACACATTTTCTCCATTCCCCACCTATTAGGGTAAATCAGAGCCTCCATCGTGGAGAGCCATTTTGGTACTTTGATATAATATCTCTGCCTAATTCCAATCCATGTTTGTATTAGAGAGTCCCTGATTTTATGTCTATGGAAATATGTTTACTTTTTCTTCTCTGTGTCCCATAGGTATGCGTGCCACACTCTCTGTAAATCGTGGCCTTCTAAGGTTAGAATTCTTTTATTTTCCAGAGTGGCCCACTCCCTTATCCAAACTAGCTTGGCTGCCCTATAATATGTTTCCCAATCAGGGAGTCCAAATCCTCCCATATTCCTTTTTCCTTGTAAAATTTTAAGTGAGATCCTCGGTTTTTTCCCCTCCCATACGAATTCCCTAATGTTTTTGTTTAATTCTAAGAAATTTTTTTTATCTAGATTCACTGGTATATTTTGATATAAGACTCTGGGGAGAATGTTCATCTTGATCGCGGTTATCCTGCCTATAAGTGACAATGTCAGGTATGCTTCCTTCAATATCCAGGAAAGAATGACCCAAACTCCATATTTTAAAGAGATTAGTACTTTTATTGAATATGAAATGATCGCAACCCAGGTAAAGCTGGAAGTGAGCAAAACGCGCGAAATAGCATCTAGTAAGCTCCCCCCCCCGTGTCCATTGATCATCATCCAATCCAAAGGTCTCCCAAAGGTCAGGTGGAATCACGTCTGACAACGTCATTCATCAGGAATGTAGGGCAGTTGGTCAGCCGGCCCCTTTGGAGATTCAGTTTCGTTTCTTGGAAAGACACCTCCTGCATTGGAAAGACACCTCCTGCAATCTTCCCTCCCTTCGCCCCCTTAACTGGTCCCTCCCCTCCCATTTCTTATGGCAGCTGAAGCAGGCAAAGTGGAGGCTGACATTCGGCCCCTCTTGCAGAAGAGACGTTACTCCTAGATAAGAGAAAAGAACAGGAGAGAGAGAAAACAAAGTATATACAAGAATTATGGTTTATCTGGGTATTTGGTATAGAATTGTTGTACTTTCTTGGGAGCTCGGACATCCCGTTTATTTACCCATTCAGCCTGAGACAAAGGGAAATGTTTCCAGGCTATCAGATATTGGACTTTACCATGGTGTTTCCTAGAGTCTAAGATTTCCTTAACTTCAAAATGTTGCTCCCCCTCTATGAGAATGGGAACTGGAGGGGAGATTTGGTCAGTCCTTAGGGGAGACAAGTGTTCAGGTTTTAATAAACTAACATGAAATACAGGGTGTATATGTCTCAGCGTTTTTGGTAATTCCAACTCAACTGTTACTGGATTAATCAGTCTAATCACACGAAATGGTCCCACATACTTAGGGCCCAGCTTTTTTGACTTCTGGGTAGTCTCTAAGTATTTAGTAGACAAGTAGACTTTATCGCCCACCTTATAGATGTGAGCTGGGGACCTTTTCTTATCGGCTTGCGCCTTATGGGCCCGGTGTGCCTCATCTAATGCCTTCCGAGTTACTGCCCATGTGCTCTTTAATTGTTCAATCCAATCCATCAAGGAGGGATTCTGGGGATCATCTTGTGGTAGCTCGGGAATGGGTATGAAATCTTGGCCCGATGCTACCTTAAAAGGAGTGAAACCGGTGCTACTGTGTATGGAATTATTATATGCCACTTCTGCAAATGGCAACAGGTTTACCCAATTGTCTTGCTGGTAATTTACGTAACACCTCAGGTATTGTTCTAGAACCCCATTGGTTCTTTCACAGG